CCCCCCCCCCAAGCAAGGGAGGTCTGGCACTAAAGAGCAGCTGCTACATTAAGCTCCCAGGATTCCTGAGGCAGATCCAGCGGTACATCTGGCGCAGGCCCACAACTGCATGGACAGAATCCAGCTGCAGCTTGGAGAAAATATTTCCTCTCTGCTTTCCAGGTGAGGGCGCTGTTGCCCCACAAGAGACGGAATCTGCTGAAGGAATCTTCAGCCTAGAAATGGCCTCTGAGGATGAAGTCCCACTGGAGAGCTGAGCCAACTAAGCAGCCGCTTAGGTGGCCCTGGGAAAGGCAGACAACCGGATTGGAAGAGAAAACATCTGGCCTGATTTTGTTCTTTTTTAATATTTAACTTTTTTTTAAAAAAAATGTTTTCTATAAAAACTAACACAAACTAACGAAAAGAAAAAAAGCGGAAAAGAGAGAAAAGAAAAAAGAAAGAAAAAAAATAGAAAAATGCAGAAGAAAGAAGAATAAGAAAGAAGTTTCCAAAAAAAATTTTGGAAGTACAATCACAAAATTATATCTCTGTCTAAAACCCACTCTTGTCATTATTTAGATTTTTTTTTCCTAATCATCCAATCCACAAATCATAAGCACATTTTTTTTCAAATTTTATGCCAAAAGTCTCTAAGAGGTTTTCCATCATTGATTAATATTGTTTTCTCTCTAAGAAAAGGGGTTAATTTAGACTCCTCGTCAACTTCCAACATCTAGGCATTATTGAACTTTTCCACTTTCAAGCATAATATTAGTCTTACTGAGTTATTATATTTAAAAACAAAGTTCCATGACTTTTTTTTCTAGTTGCTTATCCATTAGTCCCCCTCCCCAAAGGTCTCAGGTTTTAATTGTGCCTTAACCTTTTGAGATCTTCTGAATATTTAATGCATGCATTTGAATCCAACTTTTGAAAGCGATTTTTACAGATCCAGCAGGGATGACGAAATGCCCCCTCAAGTTGCTCACATTTCCAGCAAAGATTCAAAGTTACCTTTAGTTCTACCCAGTGGTGGGATTCAATTTTTTTTACTACCGGTTCTGTGGGCGTGGCTTGGTGGGCATGGCATGGCAGGGGAAGGATACTGTAAAATCTCCACTTCCACCCCATTCCAGGGGAAGGATACTGCAAAATCCCATTCCTTCCCCACCCACTAACCTGCTTTCCAGCTCCGTTCTCCTGTGCAGAGCAACCACCGAGGACCCAGCCAATCAGCTGGGATTCAATGGGAGGCAGAGAAGAGATGGGGTTGGCAGGGCCAGTCAGAGGTGGGATTTGTTGGTTCTCCGAACTACTCAAAATTTCCACTGCCGGTTCTCCAAAACTGGTCAGAACCGGCTGAATACCACCTCTGATTCTACCCAATTTCCTTAGTGACAAATACCAACGATTCATCTTTTTATAAACATTCTGATTAAGACTAGAACCTAATGCAAATTTCAGTCCTTCCAACCATATATATTTCCCCATTGGAGCATCTGTATATTATAGTTAATCTTTCCCATTCTGTTTTATAATACACTCCTTCATTTGTTATTCTTCTATCGCACATCTCAACAAAAGTTTGTGCATTTTAGCAATGACCTACCCAAGCTCTTCCATGTTCTGGTGCACACAAACATTTTCCCTTCTGGTGTGTGTGTGTGTGTGTGTGTGTGTGTGTGTGTGTGTGTGTGTGTCTATTAGAGAAAGATGCCTGCCTGTTACTTTCATAGACAACCGACATTAAGCTATTTCAGTGATGTGTCTCTGGGCTGGTGCATACTCTTGTCCCACACAGCAAACTCCTCTTTCCCACCAGAGGACATGAGAAAAGTTTAGAATAGAATCGAAGGGAAGGGAAGGGAAGGGAACGGAACAGAACAGAATCTTGAAGGGACCTTGGAGGTCTTCTAGTCCAGCCCCCCTACTCAAGCAGGAGAATCTATATCATTTCAGACAAGGGACTTAATCCACAGGTGTCCAACTCGCTGCGTCATGTTGATGTCATGTGACATTTTGTGACATTTTTTTGCCTTTGCGGAGCTGGGTTGGGCGTGGCCTATGCATGATGCATCTGGCTCATGAGCTGCCAGTTTGACAACCCTGGTCTAGTGTCTTCTTAAAAACCCTCAGTGAAGGAGACCCCAAGGCAAAGCTGTTCCACTGGTTAATTGTTGTCACTCTTAGGCAGTTTCTCCTTAATTCCAGGTTGCTTCTCTCCTTGATTGGTTTCCATCGATTGTTTCTTGTCCTGCATTCTGGTGTTTTGGAAAATGGGTTGACCCCCCCCCCCCTCTTCTTTGTGGCAGCCTCTCAAATACTGGACTACTGCTATCCTGTCGCCCCTAATTCTTCTTTTCTCTAGACTAGCCAAACCCAAATCCTGCAGCCATTCTCCGTACGTTTTGATCTCCAGGCCTTTGATCGTCTTATCCCTCTTCTTTGAACTTTTCCCAAAGTCTCAACATCTTTTTCTGTAGTAGGGTGACCAAAATTGGTGGCAGTATTCCAAGTCTCGTCTTGCTAGAGTTTTATCAAGCGGCACTGATATTTCAAGCGAAGGAAACCATGTCCACAGAAGGGCTGGGAATGCATGAAAGCCGTTCCCTCCGTGCGCAAAACCTCTCCCATGGAAGGGCAGCCCGGGAGAAGGGCCCCGCTTGGTGGGCCCTTCCCAGCCGGGCCCTTTGGAATGCAAGGCCTGCGCCTTGTCACACCAGGCTCCCGGGGGGGGTGGGGGGAGGACGGGTGAGATGCCCAACAGATTCCAACTGCCATCCCATGTCATCCTTCCGTGGGGAGCTCATCTCGGTCTGGGCCGCTCACAATCACGGCGAGGCGAGATTAGGCCATCCATCTCAATTGTGGAGGCAGCGTTTGGCCCCCATATTATTCTATCTGTCATGTCCTCTTCAGGCTCCCAAAGAATCCCTGTCTCATACATCATTATTTTTTACAAAGCTTGAAAGCTCCCCTAGGAGGCGCTTCCCACTCCTTGCCCCACCCGCCAGGTCCAAGTGCCTTAGAGCTTCGGGGACGTGTCCCAATGCAGCCGCCCCGCTGCGGCCTGGCCAAATCTGCATACCAATAACAGCTTCTCTGAGCCTGAGGGGTAGAGAGAAAGGAGGAGGAGGAGGAGGAGGAGGAGGAGGAGGAGGAGGGCCAGCTGACAAAGAGAAGCAGGAATCCAACCTGAAGTGCCACCTCAAAGAATGTCTTAGGTCCCCACTCAGGGAAAAGGCAGGGAAGAGCACGTGTATCCTCTGACTGACAACCCATTCGAAGCACAATGTGTGAGGGATTGTGACTGTGCCTGTTGACTGGGGTTGTCAATGCCAGGAATTTGGGGAACTGAAATTTTAATGCGTGAGCAGAGAACCTTTTCAGCTTCTCAGGCCTGCTGTGGCCACTTGGACATCTGTATTGTACACACACACACACACACACACACACACACACACACACCTCCCTCCCAAGAGCAGATCCAGCAAAGGCTGAGTTAATGTTGCCTTTAGAAGCAAAAGCCGTGGAATTAAATGTGGTTTTGTCCCGGCTGACAAGGGCAGAGGCTCAACTGCTTGCATGTCTCCCCAGTCCAGCTATGTTTAAGCAGCTGCCATCAGTGGCAGGGCCACAGCCTCAGGCAGAGTATATCTTACTAACACCCACCACCCACAAAGTTACTAGAGGAATTGGTAGTTGGGGCCCCAGAACGTCTGGTTCCGCCCTTACCAGAAGAACCCAGTTTAAAAGTCCTGGGCTGCATAAACAGAGGGATAGAATTGAGATCACGTGAAGTGTTAATACCTACTTTATAAGGCCTTGGTGAAGCCACACTTGGAATACTGCATCCCGTTTTGGTTGCCACGGTGTAAAAAAGACGTTGAGACTCTAGAAAGAGTGCAGAGAAGAGCAACCAAGATGAACAGGGAACTGGAGGCTAAAACATATGAACAATGGTTGCAGGAATTGGTCATGGCTAATGACTAGTCTAATGAAAAGAAGGACTAGGGGTGACATGATAGCACTGTTCCAATATCTCAGGGTGTCAGCCTTCAAGATTTTCTTCCTTTGCTTTGCATCTTTCGGCTGTCATAAGTAAGGGGGGGAAGAGGGGCGACATGGTTATGGGAAGTGAGCTGGAGGTGTTACAAAACAGAACTATATAAGTTGCGGGGGGGAAGATTCTTGCTTAGGCTTCTATCCTATGCTGTGCGCAGCTGTAAATCTTTATCAAAATATGTCAAGGTCAACGGACAGAAGCCTCATCACCACCTGGAGATGCCCACATGATGATATACACAACTTTTAATTGGATGAGCCAATTGAACTATTGGGGGTGGGAACGTTGCCATCACTTTGTATATGTGATTTACGTGCCCATTTTCTCAGATTCAGAATTCTTTTGTTGCTACCACTTGACTTCCAGTAAAAAATATCTTTTCTCTGATTAATGGAGTCTAAGTATTTCTTTCTTGGATTTTGAATGGAGCACCAGCTGACACAGGGGCTACCACAAAGGACAGGGAGTCAAGCTAT